ATTTAGGAATTTATATTTCATTTTCTCAGAATTGTTTCAAAGTTGGTCCTTGGAATTCGTAATTCATATGCGAAAAATTTGCTGGACAGCTCCACATCTTCGTACATTCCCTATATAGTGGTACTTTCCAATTTTCGGTATTTTGTCGATTTTAGCCACATATTTTACTGCACAGAGAGATAAAGGATGATTCGATTTTTTTCAACCTTGCAAGTCCTAATATTTACATCAGGGTCAGGTTCGAAAATGGACAATATCGGTGCACTCCCTCAAGTAACTCCCTACTCTCTTAAAATATGATGCATTCATCACAATCTTTTTTTTAACCAAAGTTCTGGTATGAAGATGGAATTTATCGGTCCACTGCTTCTGGTACCTCTCCCACAAAGGGTCAAAATTTTGAATATCCATGAAGCTCATAGAAAGTTGGGTTAGGTTAAAGGATGCGCGGTTGCATTAACAACCACTCCACTCGGAGACCTTTTGGTCCATTGTGTTCATCCTAATTTAAGAAGATAGGAGAATAGAATAAAGAGAAGAGAAGGAAATGAATAGCGGATAGTGAAGAATTGATATCTATCAGAAGGTTTTGCATCCACGGTGTATCAGCGTGTCGTCCTTAGCCATTTTAGTCTTCTGGCTAACAGAAGAATGACTGCTGGCTCGATGTCGGAAAGGGAGCTCATAGAACGCGAAATTAACATTCGATTTCATTCAGACTTGGTACATCTCAATATTTCCATCAACACAAGATTTGTCACAAAGATAGTAGAGATCGTACTATTTCTTCTGGTACCTCCCCCACATAGGATTTAAGATTTTGAAAAACAAAACGCTCAAAGAAATCGAAATAAGCATCCAACACTCTTCAGATTTCGCGTATTAAAGTTGAGTACCAATGTTTGATTTTCTTGTATTTTTTCCCACACCAATATTTTTATGAATATTATATGAAGTAATGAAAGATGACATCACGCAGTGAAGGAAGTAACCGAAACCTGCCACGTCGCACTATCATCATATCATATTTATTTAGGTCCGATACGAAAAGGGCAATATTGACCAATCCCATCGGAACCTACTCCATAAGGGGTCAACAATTTGAATAATCATAAGAGAAGTCAAAATATATTTAAATAGTCGAAAATCAGCTGAGGGTATACATCTGTCGGCAAAACCGATTGATACCTTTTAACTTATTTTATTTTCCACCAACTGAATATTTGGCGGCCATGACTAAAAATCTATTCATGTCCGATTCCAAGCCTTTTGTAGAGTTTCGTGGTGAACGGTCCATACCGTAGTACAGAGTGTTGTGAAAGCGATATATGACTACACATGAATGTACTTTCTTTCAGAACATTTGTTTTTTTATTTCTCTTTTCACTGCATCTTTTTGCGGATATTTTCTCCCATTATTTCTGTCATTGTAATGTGTGCTCTTTATTGGGTCAAGACGGCTCGTAAATGCAAATTCAAAATGTAAATTGGGTTGTTGGATTCTCACATATCTCCAGTTTTCGACAGTCAACGATTGACATACAAAAACGACACATCCGCCAGCCCGTGTTTCGTGAAGAAGGAAAGTGTGCATCCAATTTAAAGTAGGTTCTACAGCGACGCCAACACCGAATGCATGTAGGAGAGTGTTTGTGTGAATGCGTTTGTTTTTGTTGTTGTTGTTGTTTTCTTAACCACTTGCCACTTGTTTTGGTCATTACAAAGTCTTTTAATGTTTAAATAGCTGCCTGCATTTAGTAGTTATGTCCATAAAGGAAATGCAATATTAATTTCTTGTAGTTATGGCATTTGAGACTGCGTGAGATGGCCAAATGTGTTGACAATTGCGGAGTGCAGTCAAGTCACGTCGGTGGGAGCCTCATTACCGAAACAAGGCGGATAATTGTGGAAATTTGTAGCTAGCGCTAATGTTGGATACCACAGCGATAGATGGCTAATGACAAGTTAATATGGTTTAATTATGAAGCCCCCTATGGGAAAGTTTTTGTGTAGCCCAGGCGAACATAGTTTCATATTTTTCCTATTCGCTTGAGGAAAAGTGGAAATTTATGATTTTAGACAGATTGTTGTTGAATTGTTGACTAGTTATTGTTGTAGAGTGTTAGTGTTGGCCATGTTTGAGTTTATTAATAACTAAATGTTCGATACTAAGTGAAAGAGTCTTGCAAAAAGCTTAATTTGGTAAACTTGCATAGCAGGGTGAAGGAGTAGGAGGTAACAGAAACGGCTGTTGATCATCATTTTCATTTTTCACATATAAGCAAGGAAGATTGAAGGTTTAAGACACTCTTGTTATATGTTCGACTCTTATCTTCCGCATTCTGGAATTAAAATTTAAATAGGAAAATTAGAGTGTACCAAAAATAAATTATATAAAAAAATTTAAACAGATGGGGGAAAATGTTAATTTTTTTTTTAAATAAACAAATCTTTTCAACAACATAATTTATAATATTTGTTTATAGTATATATTGAATATACAACTTCCGTTGTTTCCGAGAGATTAAGTGTAAAGGGAGATTTTGTCTCAGATTGGGTACGTGTTAAATTAACAATAAAAAAGCAAACTCGTAATTTTCACTTGTAGATCATAAATTTCGAATGTGATTTTCTTAAGAACTTTCGCACTCAGATATATAGTTTATTCTTAAAATACAATCAAATTTTATGTAGGATATTTCTTACGTTCTGTCTAAGAGGAAATTGTATGTTACCTTTAGGCTTCGATCAAAAAATTTGAAAAATTTGACTTTAGTGACTTATACTGAAATTTGATGAAGAATATATTTGTTTTTGACTTCATCCTTTTAAAATAATGCTTTGTAGGAGATTTTTGCATAGACTCAGCTTTAACCCTGACATATATTTTTACACAGACTTACACATTTGGTGTATGCTATTCCGATGTGTGTGTTGCACTCGATGTAAGTTTAAGCCTTTTCGAAGACATAACAAGCACTCTACAGCGTGAGATAAAAAAACAGCAGCCAATTTCAGATTGCTGTCACTTCTAAGCCACTGGTCCAACCGCTGTTAAAATTATTCCAGTGACATTTTATTTTATTATTTACAAGCGTACTAAAGCATTTTTGTGAGAATTTTCATCAAAAAAAAAAAAAGTTATTCGTGATGGAAGTCAAGCCTGATAGTGTGATTACTTTATATTTGACTGGAAAACCACAAGTGGCTATCGTTACAGCACTCCAGCATTTTAATGTGAATAAATCTTTTGCGTCTCGTACTATCGCTCGTTTCCGTGATACTTGTAGCGTAGCCCGATTTCAAGGAAGTGGACGGAAGAAACCAGCAACATCAGCAGAAATGGCTCGAAAAGTAAAGAAGAAGAAGTGGAGAACTGCCGTATTAGTTTTCACCGATGAGAAAACATTCGTTGTCCAGCAGTTTGTAAACAAACAAAAGGGTCGTGTTTGCTTGCCAAAGGGGTCAGCTGAAAATGTGCACTTTCGGTTGGCCACCAGAACTCAAGCGACGGCCATGGTGATGGTTTGGGCCGCCACACACACGCTCTCCGCTCGTAGTAATCCACCGTGGCATCAGAATAAATGCCGAATATTATCGCGAAAATATTTTGGAGGGTTTATTAAAGCCATTGGCACGCAAACATTTTGCCGCAGACCTTGGACATTCCAACAGGACTCAGTACGCGCCACCCAAGAATGGTTACAAAATAAGGGTCCTCACTTCATTTCCAGCGCATAATGATCACAAAAATCTCCGGACTATTGTGTCTGGAGTATTTTGGAAAAAATACCAAAGTGTCGATCACCTTAAGCAAGCGCTTCGCCGAGAATGAGCCAAAATACCACAGAGCAACATTCGGACAGCGTGTGACGGTTTCATTGACCGTTTGAAGGCCATAATTCATGCCAAAGGTGACCAATTCGAACAAATCCCAACGTATTCTAAAATTCGATGCTATTTCCGACAATTTTTAGATTTCACTCAATAAAATTTAAGAAAAAATATAAATATTATGGCTTTTGACTTTGTTACAGTTTTTTTTTATCTCACCCTGTATAGCAGTAATTAAAATATTTGAGGCACAAGCCCTGTGGTGCTGATAGGTATTCAAAATTTCACACGAAAGTTATGGTCCGTTTTACCCCCTAAATATAATCTAATGGTCATCTAAAATGCTAGGATTCTGTCCTGTCCTGTTTTAACTCTCTCCTAATGTAAGATTCAAGTCTGATCTGAAGAAAATTTGATTTTTTTTTTGTCAAATTGAAACAGTAGCCTTCAATTCTGACCCAAACCCTACACCCATGCATGAGGATTGGAGATGTAGAGCAACAGCAAAATCAGGAAAACTTTCTGTTTTTGGTCCATTCCAACCCCTGAATATTTTGCAATAATTTCCACAAACAATAGGCTTCTATTCTGGCCCTAACCCCACCTCCATGCTAAATTTTGGGAGGATCGGCCCATAAGTGCGAATTGTAGTGTGATTACAAATTAACATGAACAGACGGACGGATTGACATACATAACTAGATAGGTGGAACCATATATACATTCCCATGTGCAGTATTCACATATTTACATAATTGTTGGCCCAATCAAACTTATAATACCCACAACACATAGTGTTGTAGGGTATAAATACCTTCATATGTTGATTTCATCCGATTTCGACATATGCCACATAAATTCCTAATATTAACGTATGTTAGCGAAATCTGGAGTACTCCCTAATTTTGAATATAATTTAAATAATTCGATTGATCCCCTTGTAATTTAATTCAAATCTGTAAAATTATTACTTTTGCAAATATCTTTTTTGCAAAACCGATTATATTTTTTACAAATCTCTCAATCGAAAATTCTTCTTAATTTTTATTCTGTAAAAAGCAAAAATATCCCTTTTAATGCTAAAGCTAATCTTGTCGAATCTTAATATTCCACCAAATACCTATGCCATCATTATAACTATCCATTTTTATACGTTAAAACTACAATCACTTTGTCCTTCGAATCTTTCTGTTGTTACTTTTATTGCTTTTCTTGAAAATATTCCTTGCCTTAGAACTTTACAATATGTCCAGCAAAATAGACAGCAGTCTTGTCACGTATTATGAAAACAAAAGGATGATCGGCCACAAACGTCTTCGGATCCAGAGGCAATGACATTGGAACACCAACAGCCACTGTAAAGAGAGGCGATACCAGAAAACAGGCAGCAAACAAGAATGTGAAGAAATAGAAGAAGATTAATAACCCCACCACTCGTCACTTCTCAATATAAGGCCAAAACAACTTACCACTTGCCGCAGCTGCCTCACAGCCAATTTCATTGACGTCTATGAAAGCCTTGTGCTGCACCTTGGAGATGCGCATGCTGCCGGCACGATTATGGAACATGTTGGTAAAGTCGGCGGCATTCGAGAACATAGTGTTGATGCCAAGCTAAAACAAAACGAAGAAAAAAATAGCAAAGTGAAAAATTAGTAATTAAATGTAATTCCCCACCAAAAATGGCGGGGCTAATAAATGGCGAAATACCTTTTGCAGGACCGGCTTTAGATCAGTATCGAATTCAAAACCAAATTTAGGCAAATACACGCTCACACTCTTCCATTCCCAAAGATTCTCGAGGTCTTTGAAGTTGACTCCTTTGAGTTTTTGTTCCAAATCGTAGAGACCATCTCTTTTGTTGGGCAAAATGAACCACATGGTGAGATCAATGTTTTCAAAGAACAACTCCAGAGCCTTGGCATCTAAGTCCGGATAATCGGCATAGTAATACCAGTTATCGGCAAACATTGTCGGCACCTTAATCGATTCTGTGTTACTTAGCCAAAAATCTCTATCAGTAGTTTCATCATCCATAAATGGACGAGCCCACTTGGCCTTAAAGTAGATGGCATTCATCAGGGCGATATTTACGTCGGGATCAATGGAATCAATAACATGATCTATTTTACCATTTGATTTTTCCGACATCCACTGATTTATGGTGTTCACAGCAAAGGTCTCATTGGAGAAATCTAAAGGTTCTGCATCGGAATCAAAATAATCTTGGGCTATACGCCGGAACTCCGAGGCTATTTTCAATTTGTCATTGGTGTAAATCTTATTGGCTATTTCGAGTACAGTCTTCGATTTGATAAACGAATGCAACAAGGTATGATAGCCCTGGGCCAAGCCATCTTTGCTTTCATGGGCCGTGGCATGAAGACTCTTTTGCAGCTCCTTGGCTGTGTTACCATTGGCGCCATAGTAAAGTAGCCCCAAAGCTGTCTGCACTGCAACCGGTGATATAATGACATTTTTATCTTGACTTTGGCTAGCCACGGTTTGGAAGAGTTCAGTGGCAAAGAGATTTCGTTCTCGTACAGTATTGCACTCTATGACCACCAATAGCAGAGCCACTGGGATCAGAAAATCTATTCAAAAGAAATTTTCGTTGATTAATGATTCAAAAAATGTTTTTTTTTTTTTTAATATTTTGTTACTCACTAAGAACCCAATGCATTTTGTCAATAAAAATATTTGAATATCACTTTCTTTTTTGATATTGTTTTTTTATTTTTTGGGCGCACAATTTTCTTGGTTATTCCACCAAAACGTCCAGGTATTAACTGGCTATAATCCCAATGGGCACGCTCATTTATACCCCGGCCAGTTGTTGCGTCTGCCCATTTGAAACACACCCAAGAATCTTCATGAAAATACCTGTGGGGAATGGAGCTAACGACAAAGAAACTAATTTTGTGGAAAAATGGCTAGGAGTTGTAGTGTCAGATATGATATAAACTCTGTATTAAAAAAGGACAGGTGCTTGGTTTAAAAGGTATATGTGAGTATAAGAACGAATCCAAATTTCTTCTCTCTTAGAAGTAAAGGCATTCGACAAACAGATGAGCGAAGTTTATGTGAAATATAAGACTGAAGTTTTTTTTAAGATGCGAATTCGGGCCGACTATACATTCGTACAAACAACTCTAATAACACTAAAGAATTTCTCAGGAATATCTTCGGTAGATCGGTCCAAAATCGATACGAATGTCGGGAAATGTTTTTCCACACCGTTTTTTTACCGTTTATTTTTTACACTCTCCACCATACTATGCAGGGTATATTAACTTTGTCATTCCGTTTGTAACTCCTCGAAATACTCATGTCAGACCCAACAAAGTATATGTATATATTCTTGATCAACGTAAAATTCTAAGTCAGGTCGAGGTCTTCTTATAGGCTCCATTTATCAGCTCCTCCTTATATTCGGTATTTTGACGATTTTAGGTACAATACTCACCGAAATTGTTTTAGAGGTCGTATTTGAAGTTCGTTATGGATGCTACAGCCAATGACAGAAAATTGTCTATGCATGTCCAGGTCTTCGTATAGCTCCGATATAACGGTACCTCTCTATATACGGTATTTATTGATGATTTTAGCTCCATTATTAACCGTTCATTCCTACACGTCGTATGCACCCCAATATAACGGCATTTTTAAATTTTTAACAGAATTGAAATTGTGATTTTATTTTTTGAAATTTTCCAAATTCGTTCCAAATGGTGGAGGGTATTCAAAGTTCGGCCTGGCTGAACTTACTACTTTTTAACTTGTTAGTTATTTATTTTGGTTATTTGTTTATTATTTTGCCCGATAACATTTCTGCTTGAAATAAAAAACAAATGTTCCCATCAATACTTCAATAACTAATAACACTAGTCGCCTACCCAAACGGGTATAATCAATATTCTAGATTTACATACTCTCTCCACACCAAATGCAGTATTCAAGACATTTTCTTGCTGGACTTTTCTGTTGTGTTCTTTAATATTCATGATGTGATGCACATACAAAATCGCCTAGCCAACTCCAAAATATTCGAGTGACATGTTACTCTCTGGGCGACGAAAACTGGTTAACCACTTCCATGCTCATATGCTTCATGCAATACAATCTTTTAGAACTCATGGAAAGTGTCGGAGAGAGGAGAATTCGAAAGCGAAGACAAAAGTCATTATTTAATTCACTCAAGACTCTTTTGGAGAACTTCTCTCATGAAAAATATCAGTGTCTGCATTTTGTAAATCAAGCTTTGTACGAACAACTAGCAAGTGCATGCTACTTCGTCAGCGAAAAGGCCACCTTAATATTTCAGCTCGTGTAAGGCCTTTAGTAGGTATATTTTTTTCAGTTCGACAAAATCTTTTGATCAAAACTTCATACAACGTACTAAATTCTCAGAATTTCAAGATTTTATTTATTATTCAAGTTTTTCCTTTTTCGAGAAGAGCAATAGGAAAATGTTTTCCTTTTACATAAAGTCTTCAAAGTCATTCATTTTGAAGTTAACCTATGAGGATATTAGTAATACCAATGTAATACCATTTTCTGTCCAAAACTATCTCAAAATTTCCATATGTAAACCCTAGAAATCAAGAGTAACATCAAAATCAAATTTCAAGATTCAAGATCTATCCATTCCCTCAACACCCAATTTAGTACCAATTACTCCTTTTCGAACAATCATAGTACGCATTCCAAAATCCACTTTCTTCTCTCAAAACTATACAGGGTGATATGAAAAAACTGCAACCAACTTCAGACTGCTGCCCTTTCTAACCCAATCGTCCGACAGCTTTTAAAATTATTGCAGTGACAGCTCATTATATTTTTTACAAGCATTTTGGTGAGAATTTTCCAGCAAGAAAGTTATTCGTGATGGGATTCAAGCGTGATTTCTTTATATTTGGCTGGAAAACCACAAGTGGCTATCGTTAGAGCACTCCAGCATTGAAATGTGAATAAATCTTTTGTGTCTCGTACCATCGCTCGTTACCGTGATACTGGTAGCGTAGCCCGACGTCAGGGAAGTGGACGGAAGAAAACAGCAACATCAGCAGAAATGGTTCGAAACGTAAAGAAGCTACTTGATCGAAACCCGCGTCACAGTAGCCGAAAAATGGCTCATGAACTGAACATATTGCAATTTTCCATTTAGCAAATATTGGAAAATGATCTCGGGGTAAAGCCATTTAAATTCCAATAAGTGCAAGAACATACGCCACAAGAGAAAGAAAATAGACTCAAAAGAGCTAAATAGTTGCTTAGGCGAACTGCCGAATTTGTTTTTCTCCGATGAGAAAACATTCGTTGTCCAGCACTTTGTAAACAAACAAAATGATCGTGTTTACTTGCCTAAGAGGTCAGCTGAAAATGTGCACTTTCAGTTAGCCAGAACTCAAGCACCGACCATGTTGATGGTAAATTTAATGCTATTTCCGACATTTTTATACCCTCCACCATACTATGGAGGGTATATTAATTTTGTCATTCCGTTTGTAACTCCTCGAAATACTCATGTCAAACCCAACAAAGTATATATATTCTTGATCAGCGTAAAATTCTAAGACGATTTAGCCATGTCCGTCTGTCTGTCTGTGTGTCTGTCTGTCCGTCTGTCTGTTGTAATCACGCTATCTTTCGAACAAATTGAGATAGAAGGCTAAAATTTTGCACACATGTATATTTTGCCAGTAGGCAGGTTAATTTCGTAAATGGGCCATGTAGGTCCAAGTTATCATATAGCCCCCATATAACGGTACCTCCCGATATTCGGTATTTTGATGATTTTAGCGACATTATTCACCGGAATTGTTTCAAATTTGGCATTTGATGTTCTTAAGGGATACTACAGCGTAAGACAGAAAATTATCTGTGCAGGTCTACGTCTTCGTATAGCCCCCATATAACGATACCCCCCGATATTCGGTATTTTGATGATTTTAGCGACATTATTTAGCGGAAATGTTCCAAATTTGGTATTTGAAGTTCGTAATAGATACTGCAGCATAAAACAGAAAATGGGCCATGTAGGTCCAAGTTATCATATAGCCCCCATATAACGGTACCTCCCGATATTCGGTATTTTGATGATTTTAGCGACATTATTCACCGGAATAGTTTCAAATTTGGCATTTGATGTTCTCAAGGGATACTACAGCGTAAAACAGAAAATTATCTGTGCAGGTCTACGTCTTCGTGTAGCCCCCATATAACGATACCCCCCGATATTCGGTATTTTGATGATTTTAGCGACATTATTTAGCGGAAATGTTCCAAATTTGGTATTTGAAGTTCGTAATAGATACTGCAGCATAAAACAGAAAATGGGCCATGTAGGTCCAAGTTATCATATAGCCCCCATATAACGGTACCTCCCGATATTCGGTATTTTGATGATTTTAGCGACATTATTCACCGGAATTGTTTCAAATTTGGCATTTGATGTTCTTAAGTGATACTACAGTGTAAGACAGAAAATTATCTGTGCAGGTCTACGTCTTCGTGTAGCCCCCATATAACGGTACCCCCCGATATTCGGTATTTTGATGATTTTAGCGACATTATTCACCGGAATTGTTTCAAATTTGGCATTTGAAGTTCTTAAGGGATACTACAGCGTAAGACAGAAAATTATCTGTGAAGGTCTACGTCTTCATATAGCCCCCATATACCGTACCCCCCAATATTCGGCATTTTGATGATTTTAGCGACACTATTTACCGGGATTGTTTCAAATTTCGCATGTGAAGTTCGTAATGGATATTTCAGCCCATGCTAGAAAATTGTCTGTGCAGGTCCATGTCTACGTATAGCCCCCATATAACGGTACCCCCCATATTCGGAATTTTGATGATTTTAGCTACATTATAAACACATTTTTCTTCAAGTTTCGCATGTAAATATTGTAATAACTTATGAAAAAAGTTGCCAATGCAGGTCCACGTCGTCGTATAAGCATTCGGTATTTTTAAGGTTTTAACAGAATTCTTAACGGATTTTATTATTTTTTTTTTTTTTGGAAATTGCCAAATTTGTACCAAATGGTGGAGGGTATTAAAAGTTCGACCCGGCCGAACTTACAGCTTTTTTACTTGTTTACTTTCAATCAATAAAATTAAAAAAAAAATGTAAAAATATGGCGTTTGACTTTGTTGCAGCTTTTTATCTCACCCTGTAGACCATATAAAATTTCAGAATTCCAGCTTCTTTCTGAGACCCAATCCAAATTTTATTACTTTAATGTTCGTGCAGTTTTAACACGCATGTCCAAAACCACCTCCTTCTCTCCACCTAGACACGAACAGTTTCCCCGATTCCAAATTTCAGAATTCCTTCTCTATACTTACTATTTCTTCACACAATACCAAATTTAGTAACATTTAGAATTTTTCGTATAGTTTAGTACTAATTTGCCAACCTTTTCCATATTGCGATCATAGACACCAAAAGTTATCGCAATAAAAAATGTCACGGTTTCACCTCTATGCCATTATCCAATACCAAATTTTGTTTAATTTACTACTTTTCCAATAACTGTAGTACGATTTTCTACCTCCAAATCTCAAACTCTGATACCAAAGATTATCTAAATATAATTTTTTTCTTTTTTATCTCTATCCCTTCAACCACGACAAATTTAGTACCATTTTATATTTTTCGTGTACTTGTAGTACACGTTCGTAAAGCCAATTTTAATTCTTTAACCTTCCACAAATAGGCATTCCAATACCAAAATTGTAAAATATATTGCAGGAAAAACAAACGTCAATAAGGGTTTCACTGTTTTTTATACCCA